TTTTTTGTTTAAATTAAATGTACCCTTTTCCCGCCCCCCGGGGGATATGGAAGGTTTTTATTATCCTGTTCTGACCCTAAAGCTGTCCCTATTTCTAATTCTATTCCTATTTTCACTATACTCTTGTGCCTCTCTGCACTTTAAGAAGGTGTGCCTCTTCTGCACTTCTAAAAACTCTTGTGGACTTTCTCATCTATGTTCTGTTTGTTTTAGAGGGGACCCATTTTTTCCCCAAGGCTAAAAACGTCTAAATCTGACTATTGTTCTATCGCGTCCGATAGAACGCCCATCACGGCGGTCTGTCCACGCTGCAGTCCGTCGAGCCGAATTCTCTCTCTCTTCCATTTAAAACAATGTGCAGATTTTCAAAAGTATGATCTGCTTACCTCTTTTGAAGCAACTTTTTCGAAGAGAAGAGAGAATTTTCCAGGCCCACGGACCCAGTCTATATCTGAGCTCATCTCTGTCCTGCTCCTGCACCAATCACGTCGGGGATTCACCAACTGTTGTCTTTAATACCCTTGACAGACGTGTTCAAAGTTGATGCAGAAGTAAGACAAAAGGTTCCAAGTTTAACATCTGTATTTAATTTATCTTTACAATCAGATACAGAAATTCAACAAGCTCCTAAACTTATGCCTGCTCTCTGTGTCCCTCGCTGGCCCTGAGCTGACTGAGCCCCAGAACTCAAGCCAACAGTTTTATCAGGACGTCCGATGACGTCATATGGTCTGAGACTGGATTCCGGGTCTGGTCTCTGGTCTGGATTTTGGTCTTGGTTTTGGTCTTCCATATCAGCTTTAGCAAACAATGCCCCCACCCGTGCAGCGCCTGTGTGGGACTTAGACAAACGCAGCTGCTGCGGGGGGCTGCGGGGGTTCCATAGGTCAAAATTGCCACACATGTGTTTTTTAGTGTGTCAGGCCTTGTCCGTGGTCCTTCTCTGAATTCCACTAAATCTAGGCTTAATATTGCACAAAGACATGGTATTCAAACACCTACTGAAAATCATTAGTATACAACATTTTAATTCTACAACAAATGTTAAAAATGCGATTAATCGTGAGTTAACTCACCATTTCTGTGCGATTAATCAACAAAAAAATGTAATCGTTTGACAGCCCTAATATATATATAAATATATATATATATATATATATATATATATATATATATATATATATATATATATATATATTAGCAGCTGGATAGCTCAGTTGGTAGGGCACAGGACTGGGACCTGGGAGGCCAGGGTTCGAATCCCACCGGGAGCACATTAACACCAACATCCAGTGAGGGTCCTTGGGCAAGACCCTTAATGCTACTGCCTAACTCATAACCATGAAGGTACAAATAAGCAATGAGATGCCGGATCAGCCGTCGCCCGGCCAAACAAGGTCTGCGTCAGGTGCTGGGGAACCAGAGCACCTTGATGAAAAGTGGGCTACTGGAACAAGGCGAAAGTGGACGAGATGCGATAACAGGGCTCTGTTGGAATGCTACTACTCGAGTAACCCTGGCCAAAGAGGTTACATGCAGAGAATGTGGGCTGAATGGTTACTTCGAAACCCACAGTCACAGTTGACCCCGAAACAACTGGTAGCTCAATGCTCCAACATCCACAAACGGCAACTGCTATCACAGCTTGAGATTGATGAAGTACAACACATATATGATGCCACAGTTGCCGAGGTCAGAGGGGAGATCCCACCAACTGCAACTCCCCAACCAGATATTGGGTACATAGCCCCAATGGAACCGATAACGCTGAACGAGGCAGCGACTGACCTGAAAGCTAAGATCATGGCTAGAATGGGCACAGGGCAAAGACACCGGTTACAGCGGTTGTGTGAAGTACCACCTAAGGATCTCATAGAAAGCGTGAATGCAGCAGTGAGGGCAATACCTACCACCACAATCACTGAAACCAATGAGCTGATATACACTTCAGCAGCAGTGATCCTAGAGATGCTTGGCTATAAGAGCAGAGAGGTGCAATGAAAAGACCAGTACCCAGAAAGTACAGCCAGATGACCATACCTGAAGCACTCGAAACTGCCAAACAAAGGCTCCAAGCCCTGGCCAGCCGCCTACAGAGGTACACTAAAGAGAATGAAGCCAGAAGGGTGAACAGGCTGTTCGCAACACAACCTGCGAAGGTGTACGCTCAGTGGCAGGGTAACAACAGGGGAGCAGATCCACCAAGGCTGGAAACTGAACAGTTCTGGAGGAACATATGGGAGAAGGATGCAGCACATAACAGAAGTGCACAATGGCTGGTGTCCCTGAGAGAGGAGCACAGCCACCTCCCAGAACAGAACTCAGTTACCATCACAGAGGCAGACATCCGAGAAAGAGTCTCAGGTATGAAAAACTGGACAGCACCTGGCCCTGATATGGTCCATGCCTACTGGCTAAGGACACTCACATCACTCCATGAGCGCCTAGCAGCACAAATGAACCAGCTGCTGAGAGATGGGACTCACCCAGAATGGCTAACCGAAGGGCGAACGGTCCTGATCATGAAGGACCCTGTCAAGGGTGCAGTCCCCTCCAACTACCGGCCAATAACCTGTCTCTCCACAACATGGAAGCTCATGTCAGGCATCATTGCGGCTAAGATAAGTGGGCATATGGAACAATTCATGAGCACAGCACAGAAGGGCATTGGTAGGGACACCAGAGGAGCCAAACACCAGCTCCTGGTTGACAGAACAGTCGCCCAAGACTGCCGGTCACGACACACCAACCTGTGCACAGCCTGGATTGATTACCAGAAAGCCTACGACTCAATGCCACACACATGGATCATGGAATGCTTGAAGTTGTACAATATCAACAGGGCTCTAAGGGACTTCGTTGCAAACTCGATGGGAATGTGGAAGACTACCCTTGAGGCAAATGGCAAGCCGCTCGCACAAGTGACCATCAAATGTGGTATCTACCAAGGAGATGCTCTGTCCCCACTACTGTTCTGCATAGGCCTCAACCCTCTAAGCCAAGTAATTGACCAGACTGGCTATGGATACCGCCTCAGGAACGGAGCAAAGATCAGTCACCTCCTCTACATGGATGACATCAAGCTGTACGCCAAGAGCGAGAGAGACATCGACTCTCTGATCCAAACAACCAGGATCTACAGCCATGACATCGGGATGTCATTCGGGCTCGAGAAATGTAGCAGGATGGTGACTCGGAGAGGCAAGGTAGTCCACACAGAAGGGATCTCACTCCCAGAGGGAACAATAGCAGACGTTGAGGACAGTTACAAGTATCTCGGTATACCACAGGCAAATGGCAACCTCGAACAGGTGACGAGGAAAGCGGCAACTGCCAAATACCTCCAGCGAGTAAGGCAGGTCCTAAGAAGCCGGCTCAATGGCAAGAACAAGGCCCGGGCAATTAACAGCTACGCCCTGCCAGTGATCAGATACCCTGCAGGAATAATCAGGTGGCCAAAGGAAGAGATTCAGACCACGGATGTTAAAACTCGAAAGCTCCTTACCATGCATGGCGGGTTCCATCCCAAATCCAGCACCCTGAGACTGTACGTAAGCCGTAAAGAAGGAGGCCGAGGACTAGTGAGTGTGAGAGCCACTGTCCAGGACGAAACATCCAAACTCCATAACTACATCATGGAGAAGGCCAAAACGGATGACGTACTCAGTGAATGTCTCAGGCAGTGGCGAGATGAGGAGGTGCTGGAGGAGAGCCCATCATGGGAGAACAAGCCCCTACACGGCATGTACCACCGGAGCATAACAGAAGTGGCTGATCTCAAGAAGTCCTACCAATGGCTAGAAAGGGCTGGCCTACAGGACAGCACAGAGGCACTCATCATGGCTGCACAGGAACAGGCACTGAGCACCAGAGCGATAGAGGCCCAGATATACCACACCAGACAAGACCCAAGGTGTCGGTTGTGCAAAGAGGCACCTGAGACGATCCAACACATAACTGCAGGGTGCAAGATGCTGGCAGGGAAGGCCTACATGGAACGCCATAACCAAGTGGCTGGCATAGTGTACAGAAACATCTGTGGAGAGTATGGGCTGGAAACCCCAAGGTCTAAGTGGGAAACTCCTCCAAAGGTGGTGGAAAATGAGCGTGCGAAGATGTCTATGGCCGGGTGCGCTCAGGAGCGAATGACAGGCCGGCGGTGCGAATGACGAGAGTAGAGCGAGGCGAACAGGGCGTTTTGAACGAAAAGAGCGGAACGAAAGTGGCGAAAGGGGCGTTTGACGCGCGCCTAGAGCCATTTCGCCTCCACCGCCCTACTCGCTCGAGTTGAAAAAATCTGAACTTTTTGGTCAATTCGCGGGGCGTTGACCAATCAGGGACTGAATCGAGCAGTGACGTAGCATTGAACCGCGGCGGAGACGAAGCATCTTTTCATTCAACATGGAGGACTCACTGATCGTAGCTGTGTGCCAGCGGCCCGAGTTGTATGACACCAGCAACTATCACTACAGAGACAGGGATAGAAAGGAGCTAGCGTGGAGAAGGGTCAGCGAGGAGACGGGGGTGCCAGGTAATTTTTTTATTTTTATATATATAATTTTCACTCTACTAGCGTAGCGCTAGTATCCCGCGCAAAATGTGTCGCTATTTACGAGTGTCTTATTTCGTTTCGTATTCTCTAAATTAAGTTACTTTTGGACATGCAAATGTTTTATATTGTATTATGTGCAGTATTGAAATGAGCATGTCACGTTTTAATGCAAATTTAATTTGTACTCGTTTAATTGGGGAGAAGCATCACAGTCAAAAGTGGAAGATAAATCACAAACATAAGCCAATTTATATTTATATCCTATACATTTTCAGAGAGTGCGTGCAAGAAAAAATGGAAAGGTCTGCGGGACACATATCTGAAGGAGAGGAGGAAGGAGTTGGACAGGAGGAGTGGGTCAGCAGCAGGGGCGGTGCGGAGGTGGAGGTTCTCTGCTGTCCTTGCTTTCCTGGACCCATATGTCACCCCTCGTGCCACCACCAGCAACATGGGCCAGGTGGAGGAGGCAGCAGAGGACCTCCCAGAAGAGCCCACCCAGGACCAGGAGGCATCAGAGACTGAAGGTATGCAGCAAAATCTTTCATGAGAAATGTACACCGTAAAGTATGACTAATTTCATATTTGACTGTCATGACAGAGCAATACGATGATGGGAGCAGGCCAGGATCCCCACTGGAGGAAGATCCTGTCCCTGTCCCATCCAGGTCTCCAGTCCCTGGTCCTTCAACCCCTGCTGCTGCTGCACCAACACCCACTCCCATAGGTGTGTACAGGTTACAGTACCAAAAAAAAAAACACACATGCAATAGGCTATACATTAACACACCAACACATGATATTGTAATATACTGTATATATATATATATATGTGTGTGAGTATTTTGACATTGAAGTCTTGTTCCAATTTAATTAGTTACTGTTTTGTTTTTTTCAGGAAAAAGGAGGCGGCCACAACCCCGGGCAGAGCCAACGGCGGTGGAGCAGGCCATTTTATTCGCCCTGAAAGAGCGCCCTGTCCCTCCACCAACGGCCACCCGGGAGTTTAGCCACATAGAGTATTACCTCCTGAGTCTTGCTCCTTCCCTGGAGAGACTGTCCTTCTATGACCTAGAGGTCATAAAAACAAAAATAAATAAAGTCATATTTGACAATTGCACTGTTGTGCTCAATTTGGAACATTCGGCCCAATAGATTTTAAATAAAAGTTTATAGATGTTGGCAGTTTCTCCAGGGAAGGACCAGTTCTCCTTCCTCCTCTCCTAGTTGTTCATTGTTGAAGTGTTCCTTTCTATCCCTGTCTCTCGACATACAAGTCAGGCCGCAATATTATTTATTTTTGTATTTTTATTTTATTTTTTATAAATAAATCTAGAAAATGTCATTCTACTTGTCTTCTTGCATGCAAACATTTTATATCTAATATATTTCATACATTCATTGTAATATCACAATATGACTCAATCATGCATCTGCAAACCAGGTACATTTATGCATTGGTTGTAATTTATTGTGGCAGACTGAAATACAAGGTTTTCCTTTGGGGCTTGTCTCAAGACATTGTAGTAAAACCATCCCAGCATATACAAAATGATCCCTCCCCCTGAAGAGGACCATGATATAGTTTAACATATTTTAAACCAGGGGTGTGCTTGTAATTTTCAGAGGGGCCACATAAGTAACCGGAATTGAGTTGGAGGGACATGAAAGTCGCTTAAAAAAATATTGCATACACACACAAAAAAAAAACCCACAACATTAACAAAGGGACAGATATCATAAGATCCTCCTTTCTATTCAAAATCAGGTGTTTATCTTTTTCCAGAATGTCCACTTGAGTTCATGTCCTGTCGAATATCTGCAAAAAGAAATAATGACAAAAAGACAAACATTCATAAGCGATTGTATTAAATCCACAGCATTTATAGGTATTAATTGAATAACTCACTGATTGGAGAGGAATGATGTGATGGATGTGAACTGCAGCTGCCTTGGAGGTAAAATCAGTTGGGACATAACATGAGCTTTAATTCACAGAATGTGCGTTGAGTTTGGATGAAGTCCCTGCAAACACAAAGAAAAACATAACAAAAAATACAGTCCACAGTTCATTTTGTTGCAATATAGTTACATTAAAACAGTAGAATGTACAATAGGGCTGAAGTTTTGAAATAAGCTCTTTATGTTTGTGGGTGGCTTTTAAAAAAGCCGTTGTTAGTCCTGAGAAGGACTGGTGGAAATCATTCTGTGGGCTGCCATGATACTGCTCCCTCTGCCATGAAGTACTCTTTGAAAGCATCCCTCACGCGTCTTGCCTCTGTGGAAGAGTTGTTGGCAGCTACCCGGCCCAAACCTTGCAGTGGTACCTCTTCTGCTGCTGCACCCCTCACAGCAGGTGCCTCAGCTCCCACAGAAGCCCGCATGAAATTGTGAAGCACACATGTCGCCTTCACACACTGCTCCACCACTTCAGGACGCACCTCAATGATGCGTCGGTACCACCTCCACTGTGCGGTCAGGATGCCAAAGGCGTCCTCCACAACAAGGCGGGCCCGGGAGAGGCGGTAATTAAAGACGCGTTCCTCCGGGGGAAGGCCACCACGTCCGCGTCCAGGGAAAGGTCGCATCATGTTCCTCCTCAGCGGGAACGCCTCATCAGCCACAAATACATGAGGCTGAGGTCCTCTGTGCTCAGCATCAGGCAGGTGTTGGTCAGCAGGCAGATGGAGTGTGCCAGCCCGCAGACCCTGACCAAAAGCTGAATTGGACAGAATGCCGCCATCACTGGTCCTCCCATACCCCCCAACATCGATCACCCGGAACCGGTACCGAGCGTCCACAACAGCCAGGAGGACAATAGAGAAATCCCCCTGGTAGTTGAAGAACTGGGATCCTGAGTTGGGGGGCGCTGCAATCCGGACGTGCTTGCCGTCCACTGCTCCACAGCACAGAGGGAAGTTCCATCGGTCTTGGAACTCTGCAGCGATGGACAGCCAGTCTTCAGTGGAGGGCACAGCCATAAACTCCTCCACAAGACAGTGCCAGATAGCAGCCACCACCTGAGGGACAATGCCGCTGACAGTGGAGACACCTACCCGGAAACTGTATGCGATAGTCCTGTAGGAGTCCCCAGTGGCAAGATATCTATAAAAAAAGAAAAACACAGGGCAAAATTATTAACTCTACTAAAGGATATTGATTTTGTTGCCAAGTTATACTACTTACTTGTAATTTACTTTAAATAAAGTATTTAAAATGATTTTATCAACCATTACTAATGCAATATCATAATTAAGGCCCTTCTGCAAACCCAGGTAATGTGGTACTACACAAGAAACACTAGATAGCGCTATTTGGCTGTTTATTGCAATTTTCTTAATCACAGTCGGTTGCAACATTTAGTTATCTAACCTAATGGACTATTAATTATCTAACCCCCACCTGAAACGAGCTTATCGTGTCTAGTTTGGCATAACTAACTGATTAGTTTGGCATAAATCTAAAAGCTAAACAGTGGCACAATGGCTTTACATGTAAAGTACTTGGATTATAACATTTGGAATCTTATTTATTGAGAACCGCTTGATTTACTAACCGAAGACAGATGGACAGGCGCTCTGCAGGGGAGATAGAGCGCCTGTAGTTGGTCTCCCGGACGGTGATCCGAGCCCCAACGCGGGACAGCAGGTCCTCAAACTGGGTCCTGGACACACGGAAATACCGCTGGAATCGACCGTCATCCAGGCGCAGCTCCTGGAGCAGATGGTGGTACTCCCCATATTGGGAGCGTCTCTGGAGGATATCGTGGACCCAGAGACGGCGTCGCTGCCGCCGCTGTTCGGCTTTCCACATTAAATAGAGTATAGTGACTCGTTCCAGAAAATCAAAGCCCGCCATGCTGAGTTGAACAACAACCGGAACCGGCAACTGGCCATAAGCTCCTCCTATTGGATGACGCGGCGAGGCGAAATCAAGACGAAAATCCTCAGGCGAACAGAGCGAGTAATCGCCGCGATAGAAGCGAGTGTCATCAAATATTCAAGCGAAAAACGCCTGGCGTTTGATGCGATTTTTTCGCCTCCATCGCGATCGGTCTGAACACGGCTTAAAAGGGGTTAACAAGAATAATTTGAATAGTACTATTCTAGTAATTAACAAAACTTGATTATAGGCCACCTGCTGGTTGTTATGGATTTTAAAACAGCAGGCAGTTCAGTTATTTTGATAGACTACTTTATCAGAAGGGCCGGTCTGACCCAAAATTCCCGGGCCAAAAAATTGTCCCACTCCGGCCCTGCATCTGGCGACGCCCCGGGATTCAGAACCCCCACTTTGGGAACCACTGCACTTAGAGGTCCACTCTTACTTTGAGTTACAAGAAATTGTCCTCACACTGCCTAATCCTAATATGTATTATTATTATTGTCCCCCTTAAACTCATAAGGACTTTTAAATTAGTTTTTACAGCCACAACCTCGGACTCATTCACTCTTTATGCTCTCTCTAGGCAAAATCATCTCATCCCACAACATCAACTTCCATTTATACCCTTACAACATTCAACCAGTGGCGGACCCTCAATACCTTCTCTGCTGGCCTAAACATGATTACATATATATATATATATTGTATAATATATATGATGTATAATTTTTCTACTTATAATTTTTTTCTATGTTTATTTTTCCACAAACTACGTTGGTTGAGCAGCTTCCAACTTCAGGTCAACATTTGGGAGGTCTGGCGTCTAACAGAGTTCTTATCCAATCATTGCTCAGCTTCATGTGTTGCTATGTCCCAGAATCTGCCTCTAGGCCTTCAGAGTCTACATTGCTGGCCAGCGCTAGCTTAAAGGCAATGAAAACGAACACTGGAAATTAACCAATCAGTGTCAAGTCTCCTAGTTCAGGGCCTGCGAGCAGACCCCGGGGAAGCGTGTCTCCTCATTGGATACACAAGACCTCAATTATATTCTGTGGTGCAGCCCATAGAAGTGAAGACACATTAATGTGATAAACACAAACAAACAGAAATGCTAATATGTGTAGCACAACAACTAGTAATCGTTTTTCAACCCTCTACAGCTGAAGAATGTGAATATATTGTGCTGGTAACTAAATAGAACGCCTTTCTCAAGAAGAACAGAGACAGAGTGACTGGGAGAGCCAGGACCAGCAGAGCCAGGATATTTGCCCCTGGGAATAAGTTTGTCTATAAGCTAACCTGCGGAGCTAGGCAATGCAGAAGACACAGCGCCGCCGCGTCCTGCCTCACCACGGGTAAGAAAACAGAATTAAAGCTCCATCCAATACTTATATTGTATTTGGACTTTCCCACTTTAATGCTCAAAACTGGGTCCTGAACCCTCGTGTTGCACTCGGTCATGTTCTCAGATACTGTCAGGGAGAGAGAAAGTTACATACTGTGCACGAGTGCGTCACTCGTGTGTATACAGACTACAGCGACGTGCCTCCTGTCATTTTAACACAGGAGGCACACAGTGTGTGTGTGTGTGTGTCTGTGGCACTAAAATGTTGGAGATCGCTGGGTTAGGACATCACTGCAGGCACAGGTCTGAAATGCACGGCCCGTCACTGCATTCAACTATAGTTACCAGTTTTTTAGCCCTTATTCTCCCCACAGCACGTTCAGCTTTGGCCCCCTGACACCGCTTATATTTTTAAGGTATTTTGTATTGATTCCCGCAGGGCAATTTGTCCTCTACATTTGACATATCCTTGATTGCCGGACCATGTCCAGATGGTCTCCTGCCTTTTCAAATCAATGGCCTGTGCTCTTGGCGCATGCCTGGTCTTGTGCCGTAGGTGAACAGTGGTTCTACTTCCCAGGACCAGAGTAACATGTGGGTGTTCTGACCAATCAGAGCTGAGCTTGGACAGCAGTGCTCACACACATTGGTCTCAAGCTCATACACAGATTCAATTAACACAACTAATGTGTTAAATACACCAACACAGCAGTTGTGTTGTAATCAGCACATGTGTGTTGTCCCTAACTGAACACACAGATGTGTTAAAATGATTTTTTGTGCCAATTATTTAACACATATTTGTGCTGATTATAACGCATGTTCACTTTGGAGAGACCCAAGAGGGAAAATGCAGTTAGAAGTTTGTTGATTGAGTATGTTTGGCGCCCTAGGCCCGGGAGAGATGCTGATGAGTGCGGCGCTTGCTCGCGCGCATGATCCCCCCCCGGGGCCTAGGCACTGGTGACGGCAGAGGCAGTAGGCAAGCACGCTTCGATGAGAGAAGGAGGAGGTGGGGCGGCGGAGGCTTTGCAAACTTCAGAAGGCCGGGAAAGTGGGCGTCTCCGGCTTTTAACTTGCTGTCCTGGTGGTTATTGGTGGATTAGATGTGGGCGTTTTGCTGGTGTAATGAGTAGAGGATGAGCAGGCTTGTAGATCTGGCAGCAGTGGCCGGGTCTACCACAGTGAACTTTCGCGAAGAGCTTCATTTCACTTTGGAGAGACCCAAGAGGGAAAATGCAGTTAGAAGTTTGTTGATTGAGTATGTTTGGCGCCCTAGGCCCGGGAGAGATGCTGATGAGTGCGGCGCTTGCTCGCGCGCATGATCCCCAAAAACGGGCAGAGTTATCTTTGCGCGCCGGGACGTGAGCGCTCGCTTCACGATCAACCGGACGCTGTCTGGGACGTGAGCGCTCGCATCACGATCGATACCAGACGCTGTAGCGGAGTTGTCTTTAAGCGCCGGGACGTGAGCACTCGCTTCACGATCAACCGGACGCTGTCTGGGACGTGAGCGCTCGCATCACGATCGATACCAGACGCTGTAGCAGAGTTGTCTTTAAGCGACGGGACGTGAGCGCTCGCTTCACGATCAACCGGACGCTGTCTGGGACGTGAGCGCTCGCATCACGATCGATACCAGACGCTGTAGCAGAGTTGTCTTTAAGCGCCGGGACGTGAGCGCTCGCTTCACGATCAACCGGACGCTGCCTGGGACGTGAGCGCTCGCATCACGATCGATACCAGACGCTGTAGCAGAGTTATCTTTAAGCGCCGGGACGTGAGCGCTCGCATCACGATCAACCGGACGCTGTCTGGGACGTGAGCGCTCGCATCACGATCGATACCAGACGCTGTAGCAGAGTTGTCTTTAAGCGCCGGGACGTGAGCGCTCGCTTCACGATCAACCGGACGCTGTCTGGGACGTGAGCGCTCGCATCACGATCGGTACCAGACGCTGCAGTGGAGTTATCTTTAAGCGCCGGGACGTGAGCGCTCGCATCACGATCAACCGGACGCTGCAACAGGGTTATCTTTGAAGAAGTGCGTGCCGCCACCAGAATCTTATTGGTTCACTTACTTTGCTTTGTATTGCTTTGCTGGGAGCTTACGAGGAAGTCAGTAGACGTTGTGCAGCCAGGATAGCGGACGCGTCTGGCCTGATGTAGGTGGAGAAAGCCGAAGAGGACCAGCACCCCAGCTGTTGCAAAGAGGTGTGGGGGAGCCCCAGCGAGGCCGCGCGCGTGGCAGCGCCTATCCTGAAGGAGTGAGCTGTGTAGAGCTGGGGAGACAAATTACAGAGGAGCAGTAGGGATCTTAGCTGAGCTCTGAACCAGGTTGCTGTCATGGGAAGAATGTCTGGAGTGACAAATAGAGGTCCGTTAAGATCTCCTTTTTGCAGCGGAGGCGAGTGTAACGCATCATGGACCTGTAGGGGCAGAGAGATGTGTCCGAGCGAGCTATTACTATATTGCAGGCTCCTTTGATTTTTGAATGTTTGAGACGGAGGTTGAAATGGTCAGGGGACATTATGTTGGGTGAAAGAGAGCGACCTTTGTGTAATGCTTCCACTACGTCGAGATTATCACACGTGACAGAGATCCTCTTTCTCTGCCACGTGTGATTCCACAGCGCGCAGCCACGACCACTGGGAATATCACGTGTAGGGCAGAGGAGATGCTCCGGTGGAAGTAGCGGCCACGGCCCGGCAACCCAATGGTCCTGGAAGAATCCCCCAAAACCCACGGAAGGGGCAGCGTCCGTGTAGAAGCGGAGACCTGTAGGGGCAGAGACATGTCGGAGAGGGCCATTGATGTTGCAGGCGCCCTTACGCTTGAAACCTTGGGTTGGAGAGTAGAAATCAGGATAGTAGGAAGGTCGGGAAAGCCGTGTCTCGGACCGCATGAAGGTTGAGTGAGCAATGGTGAAACGCTTACGCAGAGAAGCCACAGAAGGAGAGCAGGAAGATGCTGCGAGGAGGGCGGACATGTACTTGGGAGATGAGCCGAGTTCAGCGCCGCTGCAGGAATGGGCAGCATGATGGGGAGCCTGCGATCAGAAGAGTGAAGAATACAGGTATGGATGCCTTTGATTAGGAGTCCGATTGACGGCTCAGCGCAGCTACTCGGCCAGCTGCATCTGATAGAATCAGAAGATTAAGTAGAGAGATGAAGCACGACTGCCGAAGCGACCCTGGGAGCATAGGTGCGAGTCCAGCGCAGCGCGGCATGCTCAGCCGGGCTGCGTCCATTAGAAGCAGGATAAGCTTCTGAGAGAGTGGGATGCAGCAGTAGCAGTAGCAGTAGCAGCAGCAACCTCAGATAATAACGGAAATAGTCCTGTATCAAGCCGCGACAGTAGCAGCAGCAGCAGCAGCGTCCTTAGAAAATAACAGTAATAATTCTGTACCTAAGCCACAGCAGTAGAATGTTGTTGTAGCTGTTCAGTGTTTCAGTAAAAGAGATGCAAGTGAAGAGAGATGGCAAAGTAAATGAAGCAGCAGCAGCAGCAGTAGTAGCAGCAGTAGCCGTATGAAGCAGCCGCAGTAGCAGTATGAAGCAGCAGGAGCAGTAGCGGCAGCAGCAGCTGCAGCATCCGTAGATAATAACAGCAATAATCCTGTATCAAAGCCAGAGCAGTAGAATATTATTGTAGCTGTTCAGTGTTTCAGTAAAAGAGATGCGAAGTGAAGAGAGATGTCAAAGTACATGAAGCAGCAGCAGCACGGCAGCAGTAGCAGTATGAAGCAGCAGCGGCAGCAGTAGCAGCAGTAACGGTAGCAGTATGAAGCAGCAGAAGCAGCATTAGCAGGAGCAGCAGTAGCAGTATGAAGCAGCAGCAGTAGCAGCAGTATGAACCAGCAGCAGGAGCAGCAGTAGCAGTATGAAGCAGCAGCAGTAGCAGCAGTATGAGGCAGCAGCAGCGGTTGCAGCATCCGTAGACAATAACAGCAATAATCCTGTATCAAAGCCACAGCAGTAGAATATTGTTGAAGCTGTTTAGTGTTTCAGTAAAAGAGATGCGAAGTGAAGAGAGGTGTCAAAGTAAAGAAGCAGCAGCAGCACGGCAGCAGTAGCAGTATGAAGCAGCAGCGGCAGCAATAGCAGCATTAGCGGCAGCAGTAGCAGCAATAGCGGTAGCAGTATGAAGCAGCAGAAGCAGCATTAGCAGCAGCAGCAGCACAATGCGATTCATACGAACAACAGACGTGACACGCCAGCGTGCGCCGCTTGTCTCCGTGAGCCAGGTTACATACGTGTCTGAAAGAGCCAAGCCGTAGAGACAGGTGCCGCCCGGGAGCCCGCGGAGCAGCAGCGGCAGGAACAGCAGCAGCGGCACATGTAGTAGCAGGAGCAGCAGGAGCAGGCAGCAGGAACAGGCGGCAGCAGGAACAGCAGCAGCGGCACATGTAGTAGTAGGAGCAGCAGGAGCAGGCAGCAGGGACAGGCAGCAGCAGGAGCGGCAGCAGGAACAGGCAGCAGCGGCACATGTAGTAGTAGGAGCAGCAGGAGCAGGCAGCAGGAACAGGCAGCAGCGGGAACAGGCATCAGCGGGATCAGGCATCAGTAGGAACGGCAGCAGGGACCGCAGCAGCGGCGGTCAGAGAACCATGCCCACGGTTGTTTAAGAGCCTGAGGAAATAAATCAACCCGAATCCGAAACATTCCCATGCGAATAACAGACGTCCCCTAGAGCCATCTTGCTGCTTTGGTTATGGCAGATACGCATGAACGATCACTTTTCCATGCGTTCATAGCTCCAACTCCACTTCAAACCCATTGCAGATTCACATTGGGCCCTTTTTCTTTCTGCTGCACTTTCAAAATGCAACAACTGCAGTTTAGTTACCCAATTTAATACTAGTGAACTAGCTATTTAAATGCATGGCCCCTCCTTCCTCCTGCAGATAGACGAATTTAAATACATTCATTTAACAAAAGTGACCTGCGAGTAATGAGATTAATGCTGTAAAAAATGGCGCCGTGGCAAGAGTTATGGTGTGTGCCGTCTGGAGCACGATGGGTAGTCTTTGCACATTTTTTCCAACGTGGTTTTACTGCAAGTGGCAGAACATGAATCTGAATTAATGCACATTGCTCCTCTTATACCCCTCAGACATTGGAGATTGATGCCATTTAAGATGCATTGTCCCTCAGTTAGCTCAACACGTGTAAAACGGAGCCTGCAACCAAGCACGGGGCGAAAACTGACGCCTGCAGTCAATTGCGTAGGGCAAAAACCAGTCGCCTGCAGCCTAGACTCCGGGATTAATCTGTCCGCGGTCGGCACACTCACTGTACTCACATGCCAGGAGACTTGGGAAAGCAACGGGACAACGCGGCACCGCCAATCGGAGGCAGGGACACGCACGGCACCAGCAGACCACGAGGAACGAGCAGCACAGAAACCGCGGAGGGGCCCCGCGGAGCAGCCCGCAGAAGAGCCCGCAGAGGAGGAGAGCAGACCACGAGCAGCCAGACTGAGGACAGCCGGGCCACGCGCACGAGCAACACGTGAGCAGAAGCGACCCCTCCAGAACAACGCATGCATTTGCGAACAGGTGCGTTAGCGACATGCACCTTGCAGGCTTCAGAAGTTTGCAAACTTCAGAAGGCCGGGAAAGTGGGCGTCTCCGGCTTTTAACTTGCTGTCCTGGTGGTTATTGGTGGATTAGATGTGGGCGTTTTGCTGGTGTAATGAGTAGAGGATGAGCAGGCTTGTAGATCTGGCAGCAGTGGCCGGGTCTACCACAGTGAACTTTCGCGAAGAGCTTCATTTGTGTTTTTCATTCCAGAAAAAGATCATTAAATTGTTTAGTTCAAATGTATTTATTATACAATACAATATTCTAAAACAGACATTGAACTGAAGATTATTTCAGTTGTGCTAAACAATAATTCATACAAATTAACGTAATTGTCAAAAGAAAACAACAAATCTGAAAACATATTTGTAATGAATCAAGATACATGACAAACTCTTGTTTTGCTGAAAGCAGTAAAACAAACCAATACGTAACAGCATGAAAACGTTTATACAAGTATTCGGTATCTTGGAATTAGATAATTTTGCATTTCAAAAAGTGGTCTGATGTCCCCTAAAAAATCAATTCATACTCATGAGTTCGTTCTGCAAATATGAATTGTCAAAATAAGTTACTGTTGAGATTTTCACACTTGGAATCATGAGCAAGTGAATGATAATCTTGACAAATAAAGCCAACCCTGCTATTTTAAGTTTTCATAGAGACAAATTGTAAAAATTGGTTGACACTTTCAATCAAAATTTTCCGAGCAGTTTCTATCTCCATTTCAAGTTCTTTTGTTACTATCATAGTGCATAGCAATGTCCAAAGATACATTTAGAGAACACAATTATTGGTCAAGAATATCTAATGTTTACCAATTACGGTTGGTCATTAATGAGAGACGATTTCCTGCAGTGTTGATTAGGGGTGTGACGATATATCGATTTTTCGATATATCGCGAGACTTTCTCCCGCGATTTGATTATCGATATGCATTTGCCAAGTATCAGTACCAAAGTCGATATCAATTTTGAAGAAAAAAAAATATATATATCTTCTTTTTTTTTTACATTTAAAAAAAAAAAATTGGTATCAATACTTAATATATGGCTACATTACGCATCTCCATTCTATTTATCATGAAATAAAGAGTTTTATTTATTTATTTATGCCATAAATTGGCATATTTTATATTTCTGACCAATATATCAATAATCGTCATATCGTGATAAAATCGTTATCGAAAATATCGTTATCGTGATATTATCGTTATCGTGATATTATCGTTATTGTGAGCTTTGTATCGTGTATCATATCGTATCGTGAGGTACCTTTAGGTTCCCACCCCTAGTGTTGATATCCAAAGTTGTTTTATCCATGCCCATTGTATGGTTGCGATGTTCTCAGGGATGGGCTTCATCCTTTTAAGAGCAGATGTCCAGTGTAGCCTCTGCCTCCTGCTCTGCCTCCTGCTCTGCCTCCTGCTCTGCCTCCTGCTCTGCCTCCTGCCCTGGCTCCTGCTCTGCCTCCTGCTCTGCCTCCTGCCCAGGCTCCTTCCCTGCCTCCTGCTCTGCCTCCTGCTCTGCCTCCTGCTCTGCCTCCTGCTCTGCCTCCTGCCCTGGCTCCTGCCCTGCCTCCTGCTCTGTCTCCTGCTCTGCCTCCTGCTCTGCCTCCTGCTCTGCCTCCTGCCCTGCCTCCTGCTCTGCCTCCTGCTCTGCCTCCTGCCCTGTCTCCTGCTCTGGCTCCTTCCCTGCCTCCTGCTCTGCCTCCTGCTCTGGCTCCTTCCCTGCCTCCTGCTCTGCCTCCTGCTCTGCCGTGTTATACTATGTCAGGATCAGGTACACTACAGCTCTCTTCCAGTATCAGCGTTGATCTTCATGAAGACTTCTGCAGAGGTTCCTCAGCCTCATTTTAATAAACCCACAATGGGAAACTGGGTCATAGAAATGCTCCTAGACAATAAAGAAAGAACAGTTGAGGGATAGTAAAATAACAGACAAAAGTATGATTCACAGACTGATACATTTTTTATATAGATACTATACAGTAATATCATCTTAAACTCTGCATTAACAAAGGTCTGACATATTCAAAATTCTATAAATTGCGTTATGATACTCATGATGTAAAAGTGTTACTTTTATAAAACAAAAGCAAAAAGTCAAAAGTTGAGACTTTTTTTTTTTAAACATTTGATTACATTCTTTATTTACCACGATTTTTATGGTTTTGCTTCTGATGAATTGTACACAATTCAAACTCTAGCCAGAAAGGGTTTTATAGTTACAGGTACTGTAGGCCCGTCTCAATTACTATAAGACTCATCGTTTGATAATTGTTGGATAAAACAATATATTATGGACATCAATATTTATCATCTTAACATTTGACAAAAGTGGAGAAAATGTTTCCATGTCCATGTGAGACGATGAGGGTTCAATATGACAACAAATGACTTAATTCTGCGGTTAACTTTCATAACATTAGTTTCAATGAAATTGACAAATGTCAAAATTGCTTATTTTGTTTTTTAGAATCAGGGGCATTATGAGGTTTCAAACTTATCATGTATCGTATTTTGTTTGAGAACCAATTCATTGTCCATCAAAATTGTTATTGTGACAGGCCTAGTTAAAGGTTTTCATTCCAACCAAGCAGAGCCACACCGGACTCCACCCATTTCCTCAAGACATCCTTCTTACATGAGATGGAGGGAGTGTGGTGTGCCCCTGCTCGGAATGAAGTCGGACTTTTGGACTGCAGTGAGTGTACTGGTGCAGATATGAATATTTTGACTCACAGGTACTTTCACTAGCAGCTTTTGTGACGTAATGGAGAGACTGCCAGATGATTCAACTCAAAGACGCAATGAGGGGCTTTTTCTTTCAACAATTTTGTCAAGCAATCCTTGCCTGACTGTGGTTCTTTCTGCAAAAAACAATTAACTCCATGAATACAGGTGAATGTTGAAACATTTGAATATCATGAAGAGAATCGACGATGGAAAATGGATGACAAGGAGATCTCAAAAAAGGAGTTCATCAGCTCAACACAATTCTATTTATTGATCCCTATTGATCCCATTCAGGTGAAATAATTGAGTCCGGACCAAGGCCGGGGTCAGGACAAAGACTGCATTTGTGGTTTTTACGAGCATAATAATGCAAGTTAAAATAAATAAAGGGTTGGCAATAGTCACTTTGTCATGAGTCCATAACATATTACTTCACATTTTAAGTTGTATTACAAAAATAAATTAACTTATTCACAATATTAAAATTATTCAGGATTCATCATTAGTTACAGTAATGCAAAACATAAAAACAATACCTCTGACTGGCCAACTGAAGATGAAGCAACAGATCCAAGTAAAGATGACCCCGAGGGCTGGTTCTTAGGAAGCTAAATCAGTGAACAGATAAAAGAGGAGGTTATAATATTAAATAATAACATTACCAATGACAGATTGAACTTTACAAACCTGATATTCCGGTGTGTTTGATTTAGATAAATTCTGTACATGTCAAGGTTCTGGACAAATGCAAATTGGCCTTGTCTGTTAAAAAGCTTGTGCTTGTTGCAATCAATTCTGTAGTTGTGTTGAGATGGTAAACTCTTTTAGCAATCTCTTTGTCGTCCAGCACAACAGTCACAAGAGTTCTCCATCTGACAGGGAAGAAAAGAATAAACAAAATAATCATATTTATTCTTACCTGTATACAGCACACACTGCCAAATTATGCATCCCAAAATAAATCATGATTTTTTTTTTTTTTTTTTTTTTTTTTTTTTTTTTTATTATTAACTTTATTACATTTTAATACAATTACAAGAATGAAAACATAAGAGAAAGAAATAAAACAAAATTATATTCGAAATCTAATATATACGGTTTACAAATACAGTAGGTGTTAAGGTGGGAGGGGTTGGGGGGGAGGGGGAGAGTAAAAAAAATAAAATAAAATTATTCGGGTTGCGTTTTTTATTGTTTCAGTTCAGCCTTGGTTTGCGGAGTTTCTGTATATGTATGTGAATGTGTATGCAATGCAGGGGTGCATAGGTGCTATGTCGAATGTGGTCAAATGAATCTATATATTTTACAAAAAATAAATAAAATAATAATAATAAAAAAAATAAATAAAAAAATAAAAAAAAGGGGTTTATATATATACACATCATCATCGCTATCACTATTATCATCGTCATTGCCACAATCATTACCCATTGCTAATTTTATCTTGCTGGGCTTTGGTGAAAAATAATAATAGTAGAATAAATGACAATAATAATAAATCAATAATTAATATTAACAAAAATAAACAAACAAATCATAATAATAATGAAAAGCAGAGCGTGCTGCGAGACGGGCTCACTCAACAGGCCCTGCTTGTCCTCTTGTCAGTCCTGTGAGGTGCATTAAAAAAACAAGAAATTTGTGGGGCCGATGAGGTGGGAGATACCCCACATCGGGCCCACTTCTTGTCTGCCCTGTTGTTCTCTATGTTATGTATATTTGATTTGTTCATTTATTTTATAAACACAACGTTATATATATTCTTTTTCTTTCCTTCTTTCCTCTCTTTTCCAGTACCTGATTGTAATCTTGGATCTAATGTGTATAGTTTGTTCAGATATCCAATTTAAGTGAGAGAGGAAATGTAAATAATATTAATTATAATAACAATTATAATAACAATTATAATAACAATTAAATAACAATAATGACAATAACAACAACAGCAACGTGAGGAAGTAAGTAAACAAATAAATAAATATTTGGAAATAAATGATCCTAAATTCATATATAAATAGTAATAGTAACTGATTTTAACTTATCTATTTGGAGAGTGTGTGCGAGAGTGTATGTATGCGTGCATGTGTGTGCAGTTGTGTATGTGCATCTGTTTATATGTGAAGGATTTATAAGAATGTGAGTGGCACTTTTAGTCTCTTTGGTATATTAATTTGTGGTTGGGTGTTGGGGATTAAATTGATGTTGAGAAATTATTGGGGTTGATGTCAAAATGACTAATTATTATTTTCTTGGCGACAGTTAGGGATGTGAGTAGACTGTTCTTATGTCTAGGCAGTATTGTTGTTGTTGAAGTGAGACCTAGTAAACAAAGCGAGGGAAGTAAGGGACTCTGCAGCTCAGGATGTGTGAGAGTTCTTGTGTGATAGTGTTCCAAAAAGCATACAGGAGTGCATTCCCAAAGTGCATGTAGGTAGGTATCAGTGGCCCCCATAGTACATTGTGAACAGATGGCTGTATCTGCTAGTCCCATTTTATGCATCCTGTGTTGTGTGATGTGTGACCTGTGTATGACTTTATATTGGATTAATTGCAGATTGGTGTTGGGTGTCATAGAAAAGATGTTTTTACAAGCTTCTGTCCAGTGTTCCTGTGTGAGTTTCTGTATTAAGATCTATGTTCCATTTTTCTGTAGGTAAATGTATTGTATCAGAGTTGAAATGTCGGTATAATTTTGAGGTGAGTTTTTTAATTTCTTTAATGTTCTTTATGTTTTCGAATAGTTGGGATGGGTTTAATGTGTTATAATTTTATGTTAATTTTATTTTTAATTACAGATTTAATTTGTAGGTATTGAAAAATATTATTGCTGTCAAGTTGATATTGTTCTCTGAGCTGCGTGAATGTTATGAATTTATTGTTTTTGAATAAGTGGCGTAGGTGAGTGATGCCCTTTTGTTCCCACATGTGGTAGTGAAGAGGTTTTGTATTAATTGTAAAATCCGGATTGTGCCATATGGGAGTGTATTTACAGGGTGATGTGGAGGAGTTAGTTAGTTTTAATGTTTTCCACCAGGCTGTCAGAGTAGTTGAGATGAAATGACTGTGCTTTTTAAAACAGGGGTGTTTTTCAGTGTTGTATTTAAAGAAGGTATATCTGCCAGAGGAAGGTGAGTGAAGTATGACTGTTCCAATTGAATCCATGTAATTGTTGTGTGATGGTTTTGTCCACTTAACTAGATACTGTAATTGATTGGCCAGAAAGTATGGATGAAATGTGGCGCTTCTAGTCCAGCCTTGAGCTTTGTTTTTTTGTAAAGTGGTGAGTTTTATTCTAGCTTTTTTGTTTTTCCAATAAAACTTTGTGCACATGGAGTTGAGTTTATTGAACCATTTGTCGGGAGGGTTTACTGGGATGTTAGAGAATAAATAATTTAGTTTCGGGAGTATTTTCATTTTAACAGATGCTATTCGTCCAATGAGTGTAAGTGGTAAATTGGTCCAGCGTTCCAGATCATCTTCTATTGTTTTGAGTATTGGGTTTATGATTAAGTGAAAACAACTCTGTCAGCCTGGAGGAAACGGTTATACCCAAATACTTGATATTACCAGTGTGCACTTCAGGAAATGAATCCTGAGCTGACTGAGTCCCAAGCATTGTCTGAAAGGGGGAGAATTATTGATTTATTCCAGTTAATACTATAGTCTGACATCGATGAGTATGTTGGTAATTATTTTAAATGTTTCTTGTAGTGATTCTTGTGGAGTTTGTAGATAGAGGAGAATGTCATCTGCGTATAAACTAATTTTGTGTTGTGTACCTGAGACGTTGATTCCTTTTATGCTGTTGGTTTGCCGTATTGCAGTTGCAAGGGGTTCTAAAAATAAAGCAAAGAGAGAGGGAGAGAGTGGACATCCTTGCCGTGTGCCCTCTATGCAGTGTGAATGTGGAAGAGATAATACCATTAGTAGTGACAAGTGGCCTTTGGTGATGTGTATAGTACATTGATCCAGTGGATGAATGACTCCCCGAAGCCAAATTGCCGAAGTGTATAGAATAGAAATGTCCAATTTACCTTGTCGAATGCCTTTTCTGCATCGAGTGAAGTTATGATCGTATCGGTATTTGATTGTTGTGAGATGTTAATGAGATTGAATAATCTACGAAGATTGTCAGATGAATTTCTATTTTTGATGAATCCTGTCTGGTCAGGGTTTATTAATAGTGGAGTAACCTTTTCTAGTCTGGAGGCAAGTGCTTTTGGTGATAGATTTTTAAAATCTGTGTTAAGTAGTGAGAGGGGTCTGTAACTAGTGGGTTGAGTTGGGTCTTTGTCTGGTTTAAGTAACAAGGTTATAGCTGCAGTGTTCATGTGAGATGGGATTTGAGATGTGTTCTTTATATTTCAATAACAGCGTTAGACGGCATGATTGAGTGGGCGCCCTAATGTAGCACTGCGCTTGCTCGCGTACATCCCCCCCGGGGGACCTATAGGCTACTGGTTGACGGCAGAGGCAGTAGGCGAGCCACCCGTTCGGATGAGAATGGAGGAGGTGGTGGCGGCGGAGGCGTGCAAGACTTCTTGAAGGCCGGGATGTGGGCTTCTCACGGCTGTTATACTTGCTGTCCTGGTGGTTATTGGTTGACTGGATGTGGGCGTGTGCTGGTTTTGATGATGCCGCGGGGAAGAGCTGCCTGTGGCCTGGGCCGCAGCAGCCGGGTCTCACACACGGTGAACTTTCGCGAATAGCTCCATTTTCACCTTGGAGAGACCCATGAGGAAAATGCGTTAGACTTATTAGATTTAAGCATGTTTATTGATTGAGCATGTTTGGCGCCCTAGGCCCGGGAGGGATGCTGTTGAGCACTGTGCTTGCTCGCGTACATATCCCCAAAAAGGGGGCTACTGGCGGGCCTGAGAGCATTGAGAGGCTTCTCGCGCGGTCGCTCAGCCAGGCTGGGGCTGGGGCCCGTGTTTGTTTGGGCCGAGCGAGCTGAGAATAAGAGCGTCGCACATATTCAGACAGCGAAGCAGACGGAATCTTTGAGCAGCTGAGAACATGCGCGCACGGCAATGTTCAGGCATGGACGCTGCAGCAGGGTAATCTTTGAGCGAGTCGAGTACGTGCGCTGTTCAGCCAGACGCTGCAGTCAAGTGGAAACTTTGAGCGAAGTTGAGAATATGAGAAGAACTCATACTCAGCCAGACGCTGAGACAGATGGCGGCTTGGTGGAATTTTTCTACGTTTGGGGGGCTATGAATATGATGACTAGATTTAAATTGCACCACAGAATTTTGACACAGTCTTTTATTCTTTGATAGGATGTGCCTATTCTTTTAACCTCTCATTGTGCTTTCTGATCCCCTCCCCACCTTAGCCTGTAGCTTCATCCAGCTAGGGATGAAATAGATTCTATCTCCCCCAATCTGAGCTAATTTGCAGCGGCATATTTTGGCATGTGGATACCCAGTACTGTCCATCATGCTATCTTTGCGCCTTTTTCTAAACAGTGCGTCCAGAATCTAGTCATTACTGTCTTGATCCATGCTGGGTTCACTTTCTACTGCTTTCAGGGTCAAGATCCTGATGTTTGAAACATGAGAGCACTGGTCAAGCAAAATAAAGCCATTAGCGCGCTTACATGCTGCTAGCATGCTTTGGCGCTGAGCCAGGTCCTGGAAGAAGTACGAGTGTACCGTCTTGCAACCTCAGGTAACGCATGGACTGCGCTGACTAATGGGTAATATTTATACCGCGCTGATCAGGTCCAAGGCCTCTTAAACCTCAAATCGCTTCAATCCCTGGAGGATGAGCTTCTTCTCAAGAACGAGTATTCGTTTTGAGTGATCTACTAACTGATAATTATTCTTTTTTCGCGGTCTCTGCCATTTTTGCGTCTCGTTTACGTGCGTCGCAAAGCTCAATACCCACAGCGTGACCTGTCAATCAAAATCTGGTAATAACACTTCGGACGTCCCAGACAGTGACAAGTTACAGAAAGTCGGCGGGCGATATCCCGCCACGAACCAGCCCCTCAGGGCGACACGTCCCCTCACAGTTGCCGCCCCTTCAAATACGTCTATCATCTTGCATTGCGATGATGGAGCTAGCTCAGCGCGCATGCTGTACAACTTTTAAAACGAGAGGTCCTTAAGACGGCTCAGGGCGCAATCTTTTGCGCCCTGAGGCGGGAAATACGTCCTCAGTCCGACACAGACAACGACTGATGAGCTTAATCAATCCAACTCAGCTAAACTATTAAAGTATTTTTCACATCTGAAATAAAACACACATACATTTCGATAATATTTTAATGTTATTATTTTTTTGACGTTTTATTCAATGGTAACATGGCAAGTGTGAGTGGTGGGGCGGCGCCCTAGCGCCCTCTATTGGGCCGGGCCGCCACTGCGCTGAGCAGGGGGTAATCTATGAGCGAGCTGAGAACCATGCCGCGCACGCGAATGTTCAGACAGACGCTGAGCAGGTGTAATCTTTATGCGAGCTGAGAACATGCGCGCAACGGCATGTTCGGCAGACGCTGAGCCAGGGTAATCTTTGAGCGAGCTGAGAACGAGCGGGTTCAGCCAGACGCTGCAGCAAGGGAATCTTTGAGCGGCTGAGATTTGTTAAGAAGGCAACTCATATTCAGCCAGTCGCTGAGCAGGGTAATCTTTGAGCGAGCTGAGAACATGCGCGCACGCGATTGTTC